TTAGAATTTGAATTTCATGTTACAACCTCTAAACCTCAAATTAACACGCGTTTTGGGTCTAAACATGATTAGCCAACTTTCCCAAGTGGATCAGTGCATCAAAACGCAAGAATTTGATGAGTTTTGGTGAAGTTTGGATCACACTTCACTCGTGCATCAGGTTTGCACGAATTCCCTCCAAAATGCATCATTCACTCTTCCTTTTGATCTCATTCGCTTCTCCTATAAATACATGAACTATCCTATTCATTTTCCCAAGCTTGGATAGCCAGAATCACCCTGCCAAACTTGCTCCATAACTCAATTTTCTGTAACTTCAAAATCCATTCTCGAGCCTTTTTCAATCCAATTTTTCCATCAATTCACCTTCCTTGATCTTCCCTGAAGCTAACCACATAATTACATTCAAGAATTGTGCCCTATACTGCTCCATAGAAGTCTAGTTTCAGAGCTCTACAACTCAACTTCAATAGGTAGATTCCTTCATCAATTCTTCAAAACTCTGATATCATTGTGTTGCTCTCATTGCCTTGGTTCTAGTTGCAACACTTACCTTTTACTGGAAACACATTTTGACCATGAAATTTCAAATCCCTTTTCAAAATTTCCTTCCAAATTGCTTGAGCTACAGTTTATATAAATTTGGCGCGAGGGTGTGGTTGCCTTCTTCTTGAAGAGACGAAGCGAATGGCATAGGTCTGAGCTTCTGATTTTACAGTTTGAGAGACCTGCAATTCGTGATGACTGGAGGTTGAAGATGGCCAACGTGTCATCTTCCAACCAATGAAGGCGCGCCATCTGTATTTTTCAAATCCTGATTTAATTAATGATTATGTACAATATTCACTAATGACTATGATATGCACATCATGTCAGATCCCTCGGATTTGATTACTAACGTGTTTTGACTCTCATCCAATGGTCCACATATTTTACTTTTATTTTCTTTTTCTGATTTTTATATTTTAATTGTTTTAAATTTCAAAAAATCATAGAAAATTCATTTTTAGTCCAAAAAATCTGAAAGAATTATGAAAAATATTTTTGATTATTCTCTTTCTGATTTTTATTTTTTCACAATTTAATTTTGTGTTTTGGTATTTTTTATAAATTTTACACTTATTTGATTTGTTTTAAATGTTTAAAGATACTTTTATACATTTTAAAATTCTGAAAAAAAATTATGGAAAGATCCAATGATATTGTGACAAATATTGGTGACCTTATTTTATTTTTGTTTCTGACTTTACTATTTTTACCATTTTTTTATTTTACCCATTTATTTTAATTTTAAAAATAGTTTCTGACTTTAAAAAATTACCAAAAAATTTGTAAAATTATTTGAGCCTTTTTCTGATTTTTTATGATCTTACTTTTTATTTCTTAATTAATTTGTACATAGTTGATATTTTTCTCTTTATTTTCTATTTTTAAACATTATTTTTAAACCCTTTTATGTATATTAAATTGTGATATTATTTTGTGACTATTTTCTGGCTGATCTTGGGTTAGATTTTGGATCATGAACTTTATTAACATTATTGGATCCATGGTGTTGAGTTTAACTTCACAAAAATGGATGAATGATTTTAATAATAGTTTGATTAAAATTTAATTCAAACGTGGTTTGTATATTTTTTTCCCATCCCCTTCTTATTGCACTAGATGTTGTTGGAGCATGATCTATATATCATGTCTCAAAACAAATGGTGCATAGATTGTTATTGACCAGCCTCAAAATAGGTGCGACTTCTATATAAGTCCACTTACGATTTCTTAACATAGCGTTAAATTTTGTCCCGATTCGAATAAATGATCATTCGTGGCCCAAACTTATGATTGTAAGCCCAAGTATGTTAATTTGATTTCTTTGATTCAATAACCTTGAGATTCATTGTGTGGAGGCTTTGGTTCTACCAATCCTCTAATGGATCTACAAAACCTTTGGTCAATGCAGATCACTTAAACATCGTTGATCATTAAATGATACTTATGAGAATTCCAAATGGATGATATACTTGACAAAAAGCAAATGCAACTTGTTATGTGGAGGCTTTGGTTCTACCAATCCTCTAATGAGTTCCAAATGTAAGCTTCAAGATGGTCATCCAACTAACCACTAATTATTGACTTGTTTTACCTTATACTTTCATTCTTTTTTATGCTTTATGTACCATTTACTTTTAGCATTTACATTTCATGCCATTTTCATCTTTGCTCATTTGAGCATTTACTTTCTTGCCATTTTTACTTTGCTCACTTGAGCTTTTATTTTCCTTTCTTAAGATACTTAATAATCAACATAAACCCTAAAAAATCTTTAATGGTACTTGGACTATTTGGTTACTATCCTTGGCATTATGGAGAATGGGACTTTTCTTGGACATGGAATTAGAAACCTTAGCCTATCTTGGAGACTTTGTGACCTTATCTGACTATTTTGTCTGGAGTTCTTGAGGTTCACCTCAAGATATTGGGTTGCTTGTTTGTTTTTGTGTGCAGGTTTTTGTGATTACACCCTCTGTTTGTAATCTGGAATTCACCCGTATACAGCCGTTACTCTGCCCAATTTTTGTGAAGACTTAATACACTTGAAGTTTGGTTCTCTCAAGAGGTCTAGTATTTTTGCTTGCTTGGTTTAAATCCAAGGAATGGGAATTCTATCTTGGCTCATAATGTCAAGTATTGGCTTCTTGTTTGTTAGATGGTTCTTATCCATAGCTTTTATTTATGCTTTAGGATAGTCCCTTCTTCTCCTCCCATCTTCTTCAATTTAAAAAATCTTCTTCCTCCCTTTTTTTTGAAAAAAAAACTCTTCTTGTTTTTAAACTTGAACCGCTTTTATAATAAACATGGACTTATGTCCATGTATTTTCAAAATATTTTCATAAATAAACCCCAATCAACTTAATGATACCTTGACATTTTTTGTGAGAAGACTAAAAGTCAATCAATCTCATTTCAAACCATGTTGCCATTTTGGCTTTTTATCTTTAAAATTTTCTCAAAAGATTAGACTCTTGTCAATCCTTGTAATGATGCAAACAACTATACTTCTACAATATGTAGTGAAGAGAGATATTTTCCACTTGGGTGTTGAGTGAGGCATTGTTGATTTTAAAATCCAAGTCATATCCTCCACTTTGAGATGATGCAAATTCTCCTTTCTTATGGTTGTGGGTAGTAGGTATGTTTTCCACACGGACAATGACGATGATGTTTTATCTCATAAAATTAACCAACGCATTTGTGTTTTAAATTTTTAAAATAGTAACTACATGTACCCTGATCCCCTATTGCACGAAAGGTGGTACGTAGGCACTAAAGGTTCATAACCGCGGCGGGTGAAAAAATTATAAAATAAATACGCTTCTTTCCTCACCTCCACCATTCACTTTTTATATACAATAGTTTTTATACCCAAAATATACAGATTTTACAAAGAAGCTCATGCGGAGTACCGTAGATGTTTAAGGTTCTAATATCTTCCCTTTGCATAACCAACCCCCTTACCTTGAATCTTTCCCCCTCTTTTTGGGTTATTCTCTCTTTTCCCATTCCTTTGGAAACAATAAAGCGCGGTGGAGATTTTGATTTTGATTTGTATAAAGTCTAGTCAATCCAATTGCTTAGTCTTAAACATTTCTACCACTTGTGATATTTCACCTTTCTGTTGGAATGATGCTTTATACGGCATCATGTATATAGTCGGGAGTAGTCTGAGGCTGCAAGGATCGGAAGAGGTTGCTCTTTATTTTACTTTCGAGTTGGTGTCGTTGCTCTAATATGTAACACTAGGGGGATGAACGCTTATTTATTTTATTGTTTTAGTAATTGTCTAGAGTCTTAGGAACTCCCTACGTTTGAATAAATGTTACTTTAATTTCAGTTATGATTCTTTTCCGCTGCATTAATAAAAAAGTTAAAGTTGAAGACTATGAGTTAATGTGTTAGGTCATTCGTTATTTGTGCTATGTATCTTTTAATATATATGATCAGGTTTTTGTTTGATTGTGAAAATGTAGCATTCTAAATTTCTTGAAATTACTCTGATATTTATTTATTTAATTTTCGGGTGGTTTGGGGTGTTACATTAGTGGTATCAGAGCAGGTTGGTCCGTCCGGCCATATTGTCGAGTTTGTAGTGCGGTGTGACAGCTGAATACTATTGGTGTATTTCTTTTAACCAGTGTTTGTTGTGATGGTGTGAAAAAGTGAAATGGTTGGAAGAAATGATGATGCACTCACTGCTGCTTTGTATATTGTTACTCAGGTTGTGCGACATCAGCCTAATACTGGCAGGAATGATGGATCCCATGTTTTGGAAACATTTCAAAGGAATCACCCACCTACTTTCAAGGGTAAGTATGATCCTGATGAAGTGCAGGTTTGGTTGAAAGAGATTGATAGAATCTTTTGGTTCATTGACTGCAGGAAGGCACATAAGGTGAGGTTTGGTACGCATATGCTGGTAGAGGAGGCTGACGACTGGTGGGTTGGCACCTGTCAGAGGAAGCCTATTTTTGTACGCATATGTAGGGTTATTACTTGAAGAAATTGAAATAACCTTCAATATTACATTGCATGTTTCCAAACTTTTTACTACCTATATTTATTCCTTATCATCAAATCTCATGCTCTAGATAATTTATTTTTCCAAATTTTCACACAAATACAATAGATATAGGAATACTAACATAATATTTTCCAGAAACCCACTTGATAGACCCTTAAGGAATCATGTTATCACCTCTATTCTCTTTATCTTCAGGTATAAAACCAACATGTTATGTAACATTTTGCTTTACCTCATTGAATGTTCTTTGAGATGGACTTACACTTACATCATCTACCAAAGGAATATCAATTACCACATTGTCAATTGTGTTAACAGGTCTAACATTTGTGAATGTTCTTCTATAAAACTGTGACTTGAATCCCAACCAAATAAAAAAGGATGGGTAGTTAAGTTGTGTTTGTGTTATACTCTTTACCTCAGATCATTTCACTTTATGTTGGAAAATAAGTCTGACTTGTTTATCAATATAATTCAAAATGCACAAATAAGGAATGTAATCATTTGTTTCAATGTCATAAACAAGTCTTGAATCGTGTTCTTTCAAAGGGTTAACATGTCGAGCACCGGTCACAAATACATCAGTTGGTAGAAGTCTTTGATCCAAAATACCCTTTCCATGAAGATTAACCTTGTTAGCAGTTGTCATGGTTGCTGATTTTATATCAGTCGGTGACCAATTTGGAAGAGAGTTTTTCAACAGCCATACAATGCCGTTGAGATGAGGACAAGACATTGAGGTACCTGAAATTATGTTAAATTGTTGTGTACAATTGTCTAATGAAATATGACATGCTAGATTGTTCAATCCAGGTTCAATCATGTCTGGTTTCAGAATTCAGGGGCTCACTTTTCTTGGACCTTTTGATGAAAATGAAACAACTTAAGGGACTAATAAATTTCCAATAACAGTTCCTTTGAATAAAATTGTGGCTTTTGGTGTTGAAGTTGAGTTTATATAATCTTTGATGAATGAACCAGCTGAGAAACTTACGTCAATTTCAGGTAGAACATGAACATCAAAAATTGGATTGAAAGCATGATTTTCGCTATTCGTGAAGATTATGGTAGCACCACCAACAGTTGCTGGATTAACAGTGCCAATGGCCAAAATAGTTGCAGGGCCTTCTGCCCTTTGAGCCTTGCGAATTTCAGAAACACTCACCATCTTGATCTTGATGTAATAAGTTTCAAAGTATGTGTTGGTAGTTTGCAGAATTTGTTGTAGAAAAGGAATGGGATGATGAAGAGTGTTGTGGTGGAAAGATGTGTGGGGTGGGATGGTTTTATAGGAAGGATATTGGAAGGTAGCTCAACATCACGTGTTTCACTCAAACCTAAACATTATGAGAAGGTGAATTTTTATCTATTAAACTCAACAACCAATCAAGTGGGTACGTACCAATACAACTATGGCAGCCTAAGTCTGTTAACTCTCAACTTAATGACTTTGTCTTAAGAATTATTTTATAACCAAATCTGACCAGTATTTTGTATTATTTGTGAACTAAACTTTGGGAAACCACTTTACAAAAATACTTGTATTTGAATGAATAGCAATCTCAATATTACGATTACTCTTTAATAAGCAATGCTTTATCTTATTCTTTTAACAACTTTATTATTTATTTTATTTTCACCGATTTTTTCTTTGATTTTTAGTGAAAGAAAGGTTGATGTGTACGTTAGACTCTTCAGTTTTGTAACTCATATTAAATTATTAGAGAGTTAATGGGTAATTATTAAAATTATTATATAATTAATTAAGAGTATGTAGGTTTAGAATAAATATGGGAAGATATTAGAGAGATGATCATCGTGGAATTAGATAGGAAAATGGTCATTTTGGCATTTGGGAGGTGCAGACCCTCAAAGTTCTGCAATATCATTCTGATTTAAAAGGGATTTTTCCTATATCTTATTCTATATCAGTTGATTTCTATCACAAATTAGCTCAAACGTTACTAAATGATGCTTACCTATGTTACGGTAAGTTTTCTTATACCCCGTCTTCAATCTCTATCATAAAATGAAAATCTGTCATCATAAAACCATATTTTTTTTGTAAGCAAGATATATTAAAGGAAGAACTAAGAATTCTCAAATTCGATTACAAAAAGCGAGACAACAGTTCAACAACAGAAAAATTACAATCCAATTGTAACTTAAGATAAATAAAACAAAAAGTTTTTGTTAAAGTCGTAAAAGTTACAATTGGGATGTGTAATATCTCCTATGAAGGACCATCTCCAAATCAAAACTTTAATGTTTCAAACCACATCTAAAACATTCCAATCGTCATTCCTAAAAATAATATTGTTCTGCAAAATCCTTAGATTCCAACTAAATAATCGATTTTTCATTTTTTCTATAAGCGGTTGCCATGCGAAATTCTTCTTTAATGAAGATCGTCGCCTCCATCCATCTCATCCAAATCTCTCCAAACCCCATCTTCCTCATCATGAATCTAAGGAAGCTCCAACTCACATTATTGTAAGCTTTTTCAAAATTGAATTTAAAGAGTAAATAACCCTTACCCTCCTTATTCGCAAAATCCACCATTTCATTTGCCACCAAAACACCATCCAACATTTGTCTACCCATCACAAACGCGTTTTGGCAATTTGACATAATAGAATGCAGGACGGTTTTCAATCATGTCTCCACAAGTTTGGACAGAGCTTTGTACATACACCCAAAAAGGAATATATGCCTATAATCATCCAACCCCAATGGATTAGAGACGTTTGGAATCAAAGTCAAGAACAAAGATGTTACCGCTTTGGACAAAACATCCCTAACTTAAAAATCCTTAAAAAAGCGAACAAAATCGTTTTTCAAAAAATGCCAACATCTTCTAATAAACATGAAAGAATACCCATATGCTCCTGAGCTTTATGAACCCTCACACCCCCAAACCGCCTCCTTAATCTCACTCTCCGAAAACGAAGCAACAAAGAAAAGAACTCTCAGACTGGTTAAGCTTACTAAAATAGATCCCTTCGGGAACCAGCCTGCACGAATCTGGCTCTGAAAACTTGATGGAAAAATGGTGCAAAACCTCTTCCTTGACCTCCTTAATTGAATCCAAAATAACTCTACTCGAATTAATTGAGCCAATGAAATTACATCTTCTCCTCCCTTTCATGACACGATGAAAATGCTTACTATTATTGTCTTCGTCGTTAAGCCCCTTTAATCTAGATTTCTGAATAAGCATATTTTCCTTAATCTTAAGATTCAACCAAAACTGACTAGTAGCTTTTCTCCTAATATCAAGAGCATCTTCACGCAAGGAAACTTCACCAATCCCAACCTGATAATCTCCAATGTTCAACTCCCTAACTCCCTCGTCCACTTCCAAATCAAACCTCCCAAAAACCTCATAATTCCACCATTTAAATCTATCTTTAAGCAACTGTAACTTCTCTTTTAGAACAAAATCGCATCTCCCTTCAACAACCAAATCTTTACACTATTTATCAACAAAGGGGGAGCAATCATTATTGTTGAACCACTTGTTGTTAACCTTAAAAGGTTTCAGACCCCAATCCGCACTATCAACCACCAACCAAATCGGACAATGATCTGACACATCTCTGAGCCCAATAAACTGCCCCACCACCCTCCATCTACTGAAAATACTATTCAAAATAAGAAAATGGTTTATCCTACTCTTCACCTTCCCATCACCACTGAACCAGCTGAACTTCTTACCTTTGCAAGGAATATCAACTAGAGAACTTTCTTCAATGAACTCATCGAATTCCTTCATCTCCACATTATTACCGAGCAACAACCTACCTATCCTCTCCCTAGAACTCTTAACATCGTTAAAGTCCCTACTAAAAAACCACTCCCCATCAGAATGTCTCAACTTAAACTCCAACAAACTTCTCTATACACAAGATCAAGATCAAGATGGTGAGTGTTAATTGCTTGACCTTTGTCTACTCTTGCAACAAGCCCACCTAGCTCACACAAAACCACCTTTCCCTTAAGACCTAAGTTATTTATGGAAGTTGGACTATAAAAGAGAATGAAATCATCACGTGTATTAAGTGCACCTGCATACACAAGTTGCAATAGTGTTCATGCAAAGTCTTTTGTGTCATATGTGCTCGTTTCTACTATGGGGATCTAAGGAGTTTCATTTGTAAGAGTGTCGTAGATAGGGACAAAGTTAGTTGCATACAAACTAACAAAAACTCCCTTTTTAGTTGCAGAAAAATTACCAATTCAGGTTGTGTCTTAAAAGAATGGAAAAAAACAAAAAGCAAAACCAAGTTAAAGTGAAAGAACATATAAACCATCTTCAATAGCTATGTCCGTTGCAGCAAAAAAAAAAAACACTTTCAAATCACTGAATTTAGACATTAAACACTTTATTGTTATGTGTGCATTAGAAAAATCAAACTAAATTAATATGGAAACTCAAACCAGACACAAAATCAGAATCAGTTCTTTTATTTATCAAAAGGTGTAGCAGTTAGTATGCAGGAGTTGTGCAACAACTGTGTAAACTCCATAACCTAGTTGGATGAATTTGATAATTAAAATTTTGCTTGTTTTTTGAATGGTATGCATATATGTGTATATAAATATAGATATATGTTAGTCAAGAGCATTTAGACATTTAATTATAAGTTATATTGGTCATTATTAATGTATTGTGATTCTATTAGCATTATCATCATTTCCAATATATTATATGCTTAATATTGACAAGTAATAAGCATAATTATAGAATATCACCTCTGGTAATTATAAAGACAACGAGTCCAAACTATATTTTATTTATTGATTTGAAAATGTAATTTTTCCTTTAGTGTTTTAGGTTTGAGTGATGAATATCCGATCAAATTCTCATTCTTTGTAGGATGGCTGATTCGTTGGTGTTTTAACTATGCACAATTATTATGGTCTTCTTATTTCCAATTGGTTGAGATTACTTTTATCCTTACAACTCAATTTTCTTTTCCACATAAAATTAAATTGATAGAATTGCTTATGAATAAGGATTATGACCTAATTTTATTTTAGTTTTACAATTTCAAGACTAAACATTAAAACATTTTTGAATGACAATTAAAAAACATTTTAATTTATAATTTTTTAACTCTTGTCCCTAAATATATTATTTCCAATATATATATATATATATATATATATATATATATATATATATATATATATATATATATATATATATATATATATATATATATATATATATATATATATATATATATATATATATATATATATATGGGTGCGCGCGCTTCGATATTTCATTCAACATCCTTTTTTTCAAATCAAATTTGGTTACATACATGAATAACAATTTATTAATGCATTAAAACAACAATAGGCTTTCATTTTGAATTACAAATATAAATGTCAAAATGAATTATAATTAAATTAATTGAATAAAGGAACAAGATAGTAACTAGTAAGATGGTATCATTGGATACATTTGATTTAAATTAACTTTTCTAATAATCTATACTCGTGTTAATCAATCCTATTAAGGTTAGGAAGAGATTGTAATAGGTCCAAATAAGCACTCAGATCATTCTTGCTTCTTTCTTTCTCTGTCACACTCCACTATATTTTATATAGTTGTGAATATTTTTAACTCATGCAGCTGGGATATCTCTACTAGAGTGACCATATTGTTCTAAATTTCTTTAGAAAATTGTCAGCATAGTTGCAAAAATTTATTTTATGAATAACAGTTTCAAAGGTATTAAGAAATATGGTTCGATATAACTTAACCCTATAAAACATATTTGTAGGGTGAAGATTGTCGCCATTTATAAG